TTGCTCATATTTCTTCCAAATTGGAATTTGCTTTCATTTATGAACAAAGAGACGCTAAACTAACGTACACAAACTGTCGAGTTATTTTGTTAATTCAAGTTGCTGACTACAAACTCGAATATTACTGTTTTTGTAACGAAAATTGTTGAAAAGTATATATTATCGAGGTGAGAAACTTCTCGCAGAACAAAATTGTTTGGTATGATTTCTTTTTTTTTCATAATAAAAACAAAAATTGGTAATTAACGATGCTTTTCCGTAAATAATTAATATATTTATTTCATTTTAAGATTTTTTCATATAGCTTAATGGATTCGAAAAAAATGCAAAATGAAATACCACTATATGTAAAAGATAAATAAAAATGGTATTATTTTCTAATTTGATCACGCGAAAAATTAAATTAATATGACTTTTAAAAACTACGAACAAAGACCTTTTGGTATTGCGAACGAACGCTTGCCAAATAGGATTTGATGCAAGATTTTTGGAATTCGCTTGCATGACAATAAACAGTTTGACACGCGTTTCTTCCCCCGATGCAAACTCTTGCGTGCTCGCGTACCGCGCGTGGCCAGAGATCCAATGGAATTCAATTCGCGCGCCCATTGCCCGTCATCTCCCATACATTCTGCCCGACTATATTGGAATTTGAATTTTTCCAAATCTCTCGGATTATATCGATTCTCCCTCGGCATATCTACACTTTAATGTCGGCGTCGCGGTTAGCTTATAATTGACAAGCTCTTGGATGAGTCTAATATGGCCGATCCGCTCTTACTTTGTAATGCCTAACGCTGCCGATAAACGACAAAGCTGTGGTCGACCGCACTACAGCGAATCGGGGCATGGAAAAACGCAGCGAAGAATATCCGCGAGAGGATATAGGTGCGTCGTTGCTGCGGGCGTTATCCGGCAACGAATGGACTTTTAAATTGGGCCGGCCGTTTGCCACCTGTAGTCGAGCTTGTAAATGGCCGACGGCCGGCCCGATAACGCGCGAGGCACGGGAAAGAGGTGAGAGAGGAAAAAAGTGCACTTTTGGAAAGCATGGCCGAGCGCTTAATGGCGCGCATGCTGCGTGAAAGCCGCTTGAGTTGGAAATAAATGGATGGAGAGGAGATACTCTTGTTAGAAGTCTATGTATTTTCATGTTTACTTCTTTTTTTTTATTGATCTACTTTTCATTGATTTATTGTTGGTATTTCTCATTTTATCACGCTTAAGAGAAAATCCTGATGCGAGCTTTATTGGATATCCGTTGAATGGATTAATATGGCTGATCTTTTTATTGTATAATTTGATTTTTCATAATTTTTTAGAAAGTTTGATAAACTGGTTTGGCTTATTTGTGCAAATCCAGTATATTATATATCAACATAACATCACTTTCAGATCACTATTTGTTACACGTTATTAATTGCATTTAATTGCGTTAATCATTGCATCTATTAATTGCACTTTACAATTTAGTAATGTATAATGTAATAAGAATGGCGCTCCTTTTTACAGCATAAAAAATTGCGAGGAAAAAACTAATCTCTATGAAATACATTTGAGAATTATATTTTTTACTACACATTAATGAAAACAATAGTCCATTTGAACAGTGCTTTCAGTCCGTACACTAAAATGGTACTGTCGCGTACACATTTAAGGAAGCCCACCGTGGAAGACTAGGTGGGGCGACAAGAACTGGACTCTTTGTCCCGTTGTAATTACGTTTCGCGCGCGCACAAACTTAATGCTCGACAATCACTCAGTGACCGTCGTTAATTTCAACTGAGAATAAAAGGACACGTTTTGGACTCGGGCGATACTTCGACTACCGAAGGTGCAAGGGAGTAACGTTTCTTCCACTTCCTCGTCGTCATAAACGAAATTTCTTCGGCTGAAAGTCATCGTTATTGAGTTTGCCGAAGAAAGTCGAAGGCGTAGTATTTTCAAAACATTGAAAAGCGGTTGATGAAATTTCGGGCAAGTTTGCACGCGCAAGCTTGCGGTATTGTGCAAGAAACCGATGAAAAGTTTTCTAATTATTTTGGCTGCTCCGGGCTGCTGTGTGGTTTGTAAGAGCGTTCCCGGTTCATCGTGAATTATTTGCATTAACTTTCACAATGCACTTGAAACAAATACATTATCGGAATGAAATTATTTTCATTTTGAATTCGTTGAGAACTTCATTCAAACATACGGCGCAGAGTTGACAGCCTTGAAAAGTCATTTGAAGCTGTTGCTTTACGTTTCCTATTGGCGTAGATTTCACAAAAATGTCTTATGTCAACTGAAATGTGACTTCGATTTTGGAGTTAAAAATCACGAGTCAATTAAAATCATACAAATCAAATGTTTGTGGATGCAACCATAATAGTGTATCGTTTGAAAATAGGTCAAAGACAGCACTTTGAAAGTTAAAAATGCAATTCATTTTTCAAGCACTGTGCACATAATATATAAGTTACGCAATGTAATATTTGAGTGGTCTTGTCATAGCAGACTTTGACACGAGTAACTTTTTTGATTTATTGATACAACAGAAATACGCGAATTGGTTACTTGGACCTTAGTTGCGGGCTTGAACAGCTCCGATGACGATATTGAAAACGACGATCCGTGCCATTTTTCACGAAAAGATGCACCGCGCTCGCGAGTTGGAAAACGAAGAAAGGCATTTGTTCGCCCGGCATTTGAAGAAGAAGAAGAAAAAAAAAGCCACTCATCATCTTCTTTTCTCTTTTTGTTCAGCTTCAGCCAATTCCCGTCACTTATCCGGCAGCTAGCGCGCGAGTTTTTACAGTCTCTATCATCCCCCGTTCAGCCCTTTTATCGCCTTATATGCGGGCGTGTCGCTTTGTGCGCGCCTTGGCCGTTATACTTTTACGGCCCTTTCTCTTTTCTCACTGGCATTGCGCAACGGATGCTTCCCTTTTTTTTTATTCTTCGCAGCTGTAAGACGGATTTCCACGCAGCCATCGCGCCGTTTCCTTTTAGATAAATTGCCGTATAAAGTATTTCTCAGCGCCGATGACGCGTCAACATCGGTCGTTACTTGCCGTTTCTTTTTGTCCGAAATCAAACGCTCAATTACACTCGCAGCTGAGAAATTTACCCAACAGCTTCGCGCGTGGACGAATATTTTTATTTTTAATAGCGCCAAACAGTTATTCTTTTTTTCTCGCTTACTATAAAAGCAACTGTTTTCAATCGAGACTCATTTAGCGAGGTGTGAAAATATTTATCGGTTTGTTGAAACTGTTAAGTATGTTTTTTAAATAGTTAACAACGACGTTTAAATAACACACAGACTTCATTTGCTATGAATAATAGTGCGTGTCAATTTTTTGACTCCAGGCAAGGTTTGACTCGCTCCAGCCTCCAACTTTAGCCAAGATGTTTATACATATGTCGTTTCTCGTCACAAGGCTTATCGATATTCGAATAAGAATGTGCTGTCGCCATTAATTTCAGTGGTATTCTACAAAACAGTTCATTGTTCCCATAAACTTCGAATGTTCAGACTTGGATAAACTCAAACCTGCAAGCTATGATCTTTCTGAATTATCTTATTTTTGAAATATGACACTCCGCCAAAAGTAGCCTCGTAAAATTTTTACCGCACAATTAAACTTCGAGAATCTAACTATCATACAATGATAATGTTGATTAACCCATTAACTATTACGATTACAACAGAAAAATTTGGCGTCGACAGCTTGTGCGAAGCCCCCATCGCGTTCTTCAGAATAAACACGCTTTCTTATCGGAGTTGTCTCGAGCCGACAAAGCCACAGACCGGAAGAGAGAAAAGAAAGTGCTAGCGCGCGCGAAATGACATGGTGCATGCGGCAAATCTCCCGATAATTTCCGAGCGTGATCGGCTCAGCTGACGTAACGATAAACGATATAGCTGGAACATGCGGCAAACGATGCTTCGCTTGCTGCTGCCGCTGTCGATGCGTAATTGCTCGGTTGTACGTGACGTTACTCAATATACCCTTCGGAAAAAAAAAATTCTTGATTGCCGGGTCGTGAGAGTACGTATAAAGTTGTTGAATCAATAGTTACTGACGTTTGGTTGACAATTTATTAGTTTATTATCCGTTGGATTCTTTTGCCAGGATATGTTGAACCATTTATTAAGTTTAATAAATTATACAAAATTTCCGATATTTAATAAGTCGTTAATGAAATAATGGAGAGATAGGCAGTTTGCAGAGAAAAGATTTCTTTGCGATAAAGTATCGTAATGCATATAATCAACGTGTTTTGTGTTATCTGACGTGTGTATCGTAAGATTAAGTGTTTACTAGAGTCTTTTGTGCGGATAAAAAAAGAAATGTGTGGTATTTATAAAAATAATATATGAGATTGCCGTTTCATGTAAATACGGCTAATTTTGCATACGAATTCGAAACAAAACACACGCACGCCAAAACTGCGATAAAAAGATTTATTCGCAACAACAAAAAGAGCCGCAGAAAACTTTGTAATATCCTGGTCAGTCAAGAACATTTTAATTATTATTCAACGCGAGCGCCTGACGTAAAACTGCTTAAGTTCACAAAAAAACGAAAAGAGGAATGCTAACCGTTTGTACTCGCCAAATGTGCGTATGGAAGTTTTCAAAAACTTCAGCAGCATGCAAATTAAGTTAACCGAAGTACAAGGTGAATTCAATTTCTCAACTCGAAAAGAAAGAAAAGGACGATCGTGTAGCCGAACAATTTTTGGCGTGCGCGCCAAGAAAGTGACATATATATACATATACATACATACATACATACATATATATATATATATATATATATATATATATATATATACATGATAAATAGAAAAAGAAGTGTAAGAGCGGCATTAAGATGACGATCGCAAGGACACCTGCGAAAAAGAAGGCGAAAAGACCGATTGCCTCGCGGCAACTAGCAAGGAACGCACACTCACACTACTCTAGCGTGTATATGTTTACTTAACGCGCGTTTAGCCGCACGCGTATGCTCTTTCTCTCTCTGTCTCTCGCTCGAAACGTCGAGGCGAGTCAGGTCACGGAGTTAGCGCGCTCAGTCGCCAAGTCGTGCGTGGAATGGACACATGTCGGACGACGCTGAAGGAGGTACGCATTGGTTCTTCTTCCTATTTTTCTTCTAATTTTTCGGCTGGTTGATATCCGCCAAAGTGCTTTGTTTTTCTTTTTTTTCTCAGTGATTGTGGTGTGACGCAAGTGGAGAAAGCTCTACTTTTCGTTGTTGTCTTTGGTGTTCTGTATATCGATTTGCGATTTGTTTGTGTTGCAAATTTGTGAGTTAGGAGTGGTGTGATTTGTTACGAGGAAGAAGTAAGTTTCCTTTGTTTGTCCGGGTAGATATTTGTGTGTATAACTGATATTTGCATAAAATTATGAATTTTGAATAATCTTGTTATGACTCATCGCAAAAAAAAAATAAACTCGATGCACTAGCGATTATAATTAATGTGTAGTATTTTTTGCATTATTTTTACAAAGACCACAACAAAAAAAGAAATCCTAACAAGCGCTAGATCAATCATTAATTGAAGAGACATCGTCATCGAAATAAATTGAACAAATGAAAAAAAAAATTGTATAATGAGATGAATTGAAGTAATTTGTTGACAGTATCATTATCGACGAATCTTCAAGTACTCAGATTACACGTAATAAGTCGAGAACAAATTTTTACTCAATCTATCTTCAAACGGAAGTGCTGGGAATTCTATGGTGACGGGTCAATGTGACCTTCAATGAGATTATCTTCGTGAGACGCCAAACTCGTACTAAGACCGTCGTAATAAGTATATACAGTAATTTCTTTGCAGACGTTTACTATCTAAGCTATTTCGCAAAAAATATATTAATGAAGTCAAAGAAGCTTTATTTATTATTGAGTTTAAAAATGCGTTTCTTTTTGTCAGTTTAAACTCGTTTTCACTCTGTCAACTAAGTAAATTTTATAAAATTATTTGAGAAACACGTTTGCATTTTTCAGGAATATACAATCACGTGACACGTGAATCACATAAAAGAAATAATGAAATTTTTCGCATTACGAAACCCGTGAATCATTATAAAAGTGGATAATAAATGATGTTTGCATATTTTCATGAAAGTATCATTTGCAAGTTAATTCGGATCACGCGGGGAAAAATATATTAACATCGAAAAAAGTTGTTGTGCGAAATGTCGAGTCGTAATTCGTGGCTAAGCCACACATAATTGGTTTCACATTGGAAATGAACTTTTTGCTTGACGTGCAGTTTTACTGATTTTTTTTTCTCGAATGCACAGTATCTCTCTCGCGTAGACTCAACAATCGTTCATAAGTTTCGCGCATGCGTCAGCAACTTGAATATTGCTGTTTTTATCCACTTTTTTGCCATGGTATTTTTAGATGAAGCAAAATATCATGGACGTGTTTGGCAACTCCGGTTGTCTCGTTTTCCAACATTAACTTCCGCGTACGCGCGAAACTTGTTTTTTTTTATGTTATATGTGCAGGTGAACTAAATATCAAAGCAAATTTTTTCAAGGAATGTTTGGGGGTATTCGATACATTTCAACAATGAGTTACAACTCTATATTGAAGCCACTTTTGTAACTAGTTAGTTGGAAATTTTCTGTAAGCTAAATTATGCGTAAAGCTATTGAGAAAAAACGAGGTATCGATTAGAATTCATATTTGTCAAAGATGTAAATTATATCATTTCACTGGCATCGATTTATTTACTTAATAAATCCGCAAGTGTTATCGTTAAAAAACGAACTATAAATTGTATCTCTGTAAGAAATTTTTTTCAAACCAATATCATTCAAGTAACTATAAATATCACGGATCGATCAAAACTAATAAAGTTTACGTAAAGTAGCTTCGTTCGCAGTAAAATTTACAACTTCTTCATTTTTATTGGCTAAAAACGCTGACATAGTTTAATACGAGGCACGGAAGTTGTAAATGTTCAAAAAAGAAGAACGAGCGTTCTTCGCCAAAGTGGGTATGTTAAAAAAAATATCAGAAGCGGAAAAAAGGGAGTTTAACGATCGAAAGAAAGATGACTTACATGTAGGTTACGCCGGCGCTCACGGTTACGTGAAAAACGCGTGTAAAAGTGCCCATAGGATTACGTAAGTAGTGACGGCCGCCCGTGGTTAGACGCGTACTTTCGATGAGAGAGCGAACACACTCGCAGCTATAATACGCACAGTGACATGTGATTATTAGTTTTCATAACGCCTTTTTCCTGTCTGTGACACACTGTCACGGGAAATTGATGTTTCGAAAACTCATCGTGTAGAGAATCGATGTTCCATTCGAATTTCTCGCGTAATCTGCCGTCTTGTGAACGGGAAAGACAAATCAATCAATTTTGATGATGAGCGCTTACATCGAAAATTCAGGTCATGCCATATTAATATATATTCCACGTTTATGAACGTTTCGTCAAGTGTACAATACGTTAGAGGCTTTCTGCATAACAGCAACTGAATATCTCGAAAAATAACGCTAAGTGTTATTTCATTTACGCCTGCATTGGAAAGATTGTCACGAAAATGTTGTTCGCGCTTCGCATGTACGCGAAGGTGTCAGAGGTCATAAATATTCATATATTTAAATATCGGATGGATGCTTGTATAAATGTCTCCCGTATATTGGAAATCTACGCGAGCATCTGATCATTTGTGATTCATCAATCCTATATAATTTATTTGGAAATCAATGTCAATAAATGGCTTCGTTAATTGCTGATTGTATTGCGAACGTCAACATTTCTCTGATATTCTGCCATGTAGATAAAATAATAGTGTATAATTTGATTATTATTTTGTTGTTGTACCGTGTATCTTATGTATCGGAACTTTTGAGACACGATTTACCTTTAATTCAGGCATCACTGAGCTCAGCAATTCCATTGGATTAGGTCAGAATTTTATGTTGCGCAACGTTGCAGCGTCAGATGATACCGATTTCATTAGACAGCGAAATTGCTCGACTTCGCTGGCGCAATTTTTTTTTTCTCGTGAATAAGCAAGGAACAAGTTCAAGTTCATCGGGCTGAATAACGAAGCCTTTCGAATGACCTAATCGTTTGAAATGTTAGATTTCGTCATTCGATGTATCGATTCAAAATGGAAAGTGTCCGATAAATCACTGGCAATAATCGGTACGAATTGAAAAATTCACAGGAACGCCCGACGAGCGGCTGCTGAGCTCGCAGCAGCAGACCTGCCAATCAGTCCCGACCGGGGCTGCAAACGAGGGGCCATGTTGCTCGTGCATGGCCGAGCGCTTGACCGTGGCGAGGCATCAGCAGCAGCAGCAGCAGCAGCAGCAGCAAGCGTATAGCCATTGCGAAGATGAGCCGCCGCCGTACGCCTCGCTTGTAGACGCGACGTCGTCGCCAAGCTGGTCGTACGTGTTTCCCGTGCCGCCGTACGAAGACAGCGGCGTTGCGGCGAACGCCGAGGGCCGGCCGATCGCAAGGCCGCTCGTCTCCATTCCGCTGACGAGCTACGGCATTTACAAGATCGAGCCGCCGAGGTACACCTCCGTCGTAAGCCCGCTCGAGAGACACCCCAGGCTCGTTCCAGAGACTGTTACCTCTGTCAAAGCGTCCGGCGGTGCGGCTAGAAGTGAGTTCAAAGAAAAACACAATACAAAACAAGTCAGACTTTCCATTCTCGCCATTGAATTTTTGCTCGCTTTTGCCGGAACGAATGACAAACCAAATCACTAACGAATCCTCGACTATCGCTGTTCGAAGCAACTTATGAATCATTCGATATATTTCTATGGATAATAAACATTTCACTTCGCAATTCATATCAATAACATTTCTTTTTATGTGCCGCAAAGTAGCAAGCCGGATATCAAATATCCAACTGGCAACTTTTATTTGCTGAAATAAAGAATGAATATCTGACGACTGGCGTGATGTTCAAAAATAGCATCTTTCAAAACATGTTTATATTTGCTTGAACAATTATCAGCGCGAGAGGTCATCGTTGACGAGTGTTTCTGAAAAATGTTCTCTCGCGTTCGTTCTAATTACCCGTCCTGAAAACCACGAAACGTCTTTCAATAAATCGCAACGGTGGATGATTCGAGCATTCCTACATGCGCGACTCACCTCACGATCGTCATATAAAACATTGATTATACTTGTTGTTTGCTTGTTTTTCTATGTGCAGAATATGGCGCGATATTGATAGCCGCGACGGTCATCATTTTCCTTATGGTTCTGTCGCTGATGGTGCGCTTCGTCACCGAGAAGAGCCTCTGGCGGGGATGAAGTAACCCATTGTTAACCGCCTTCCTTGTCGCGTGTGTGTGTCTTTTGCTCTCTGCTGTGATTTATCGCTAAAGTATCTTCCTCGCGAGTGTGCACTTATCCCGCGTAGCCAATACTTTTAATGTTAAGAATAGTCGTTCTTTATTGTGCGTGTGTATGTGTATATATATATGTAGGAAGGTTCTTTATTTTTACTTTTTTGTATCGAAACATAGATGATAATGGTAGGGGTTTCGCGCGATATATTCTTTTATCAAAGAAACAATTTCGACAGTTAAAATTGTACGTTGAACGAAATGTTAATATACTCGAATATCGGAACAAAGTGCCTTATATATCGTACTTCTTAGTACGTTTGTTTACTGCAATTTTTTGGATGAATAAGTGAACGTCTTTCGATAAATTGAATTCCTTGTGAGCATAAACGTAAACATATCAAGTAGATTTAAGTGCATAATTGTTACCAAACGTAATAAAGTATATTTTTTTCTATCAAATCTAGTCTGAGTGTCATTGATGCCTCTTTCTCCGACTATAACCATGTCGCTCGTTATACCAGGAAATGTCGCGTAAAACAATAAGTTAACAGGTCCGCGCGGAGCAATGAAATACAAATGCGAACAAAGTCTCTTCGCGATGCACAAGTAAACTTCTGAAAACGAAAGAGGACAGGGAGAGAAAAAGCCGATCAAACTGTAACAAAAGCCTGGAGGTGTGCACACGCGTGTACATGCGGGATTGGGTGTAGGGCGATTGGAAACAAAACGCGCTGCGAACGCGGGCGCTCACCGCGCTTTAGCGCGCGGATGAAGTAATTTTGAAACTTAATTAGTAGACTCGTTCGAACGACATCGAATGCTACGGGGTGGGCGCTTGTCACCTCGAGTCAGCGAGACGAGAAGCAGAGCGTATAGCGGGCCAAATTTTATCCCTCTCTCGTTTCCACTTCGGCGCAGCAACCCTTCCTATTTCTGCGGTTGCCGCTGCACAACGCCGCGACGCGTTTTGCGTGTGTTATTAGCGCGGCTGTGCTTTCCTTTCTATCTCATAAAATGGACGCCACCGCCGCCCCTGCTGCTGATGATGCCGAGGCTGAGAGAGGAACCCGGCGCTTTTGTAAGCAGGTGTGAATGTGTTTCGCAACCCCGCGCGCGCTCGCCTCGCTATTGCCTCATTTGCGTGGGAAATTCGCGCTAGAGACAGAATTCTGCAGGCCTTTATTTCTCTTTTGCGCTTGGCCATGTTGACGAAGCTTACAGTTTCAATTAATTAGTTTTTTGGCTCGTTATTTGTGTCGTGCTATGTACAGTAGGTAACATTTATTTTTATTTTTCAATATCTAATAGCGTGAATAAAACTTTAATTATTCTTTTCTTATGCTAAATATATCATACAACATCAAACTACTTGTGTATAGCAATCAAAAGGAGTCTTGATGTTGAATAAACAAATTTGTTTGGTAAATTAACTAATTACTGTTGCCATTTGCAAAACTCGCTTGGTAAATAATACAATAAACAAAATGTCAAGTCGACGCTATCAATAGTATTATCAAGTTCATATCAATATTCTACAACCTACTTTGGCCATGAGAAAAAATCATGACTTATTTTCCGGATTGACATAACAACTTAGAAATTAATTTACGTCGACTGTTAGATCTGTCATATATAGCGACTTTACGATTGAGATAAAAAATCAATTAGCCAGACGATAGCTACAAACAGTCAAATCAATGCTGTACCAACCGCATGATTATCGTCATTTTTTTCCATTGAATGCATTTCTTCGTGGATTTTCATTTTTATTATATACGCAAATATTATTTTACCTAAATTCACGTAATTATTACAATCTAATTTTCACACATCCTAATTCTCAAATACAATAATTTTTTTAAAATGTCTTTGCCAATAATTATAACAGCGTATCAATAGCATAGAAAAAAGTATTTGAAAAAAGAATTATTTTGTTATTTATGTCGTCTTCAAAGGGTGAAAAATGGATGTGAAAATTATTTTATTAATGGAAGAGCTGTAAGAATTTTTCAACTCTAAAGTATCTTTGAGTCTAATGAATAAACGGAGCAATAAAAGACCAAGAGATAGCACAATCGAGATAACAATGTCCGGAGTGAATAATCTAGAAGAATGTTGAAAGTAACCATTTAATCGGCAAATGTCCTAATGTCCACCTAAAAACTATGCGCAAAGCGGACACAAAAGAGAGAATCGAAACACAGCCTGCGCGCAACTGTTACGCCTTCAACAAGTTCAATCCGAAAATGGCACGTCATCGAGCAATTATTATTCTCCACAGTCTACAGAGGCGAAGGCCCTCGTCACCAGGGAAATCACTTGCCCTTTTGTCCGTTCGCCTTAAGAGATAACTGTAATAGAGTCAGCATATGAGCTCTCTGATTCGGTAACTCGATCCGAGAGAGGCAGCGGCTGCTTCACTTCCGCGCGAGGCGCCCACGCGAATTGTTCGCGAATTGTTCGTCGTCCTCGTCGTCGTCGTGGGCGTTCACTCGAATAGCTTTCGATTATTTTTCTTTTCTTCTTCTTCTTCATTGTCGTGGCTGTTGCACGCGCGCGGAATCCGTGATCGCTCTCTTTGCATGCTTGCGAACCAAACAATGATTCGCATAGGAAGTGGGTTTGTTTGGTCAACTAGTCAGACATCATTCAGCGAGGTATTTTTTATGCTAATTTTATTCCAATGCTGAGATTATCTCATTACCAACATCGTAATAGAAATTTCAATTGAAAGGAATCGCTTCGACAATAATATCGCGCAGTAGTGTGTGCTGCGTTAAATTAAGCATTCATCGTATATAGATTGGTATCTTAATTAGATAGCCGAGTTATTATTAGGTGCTTCGATTAACTATATGCTCTCGATCTCTCGGACCGATAAACCAATATTTGTACAAACCGCACGTATATATATGTATATATATATATATATATATATATATATATATATATGCGCATATGGCTAAATTGACATTGAATTAATTAAATCGATCAGACATTTAATTAAAGACTTTCAATGCGAAAGCCAGTTGAACGAAAAAACAGTTTACATCAAGTTTAATTAACTAATTACTGTTGATTGTGGCCAATATATTTACTTATTGTGTAAGGAAACAGTGAAAACGTTGCGAAATCTATTAATTAGTCGTGTCAATCCATTGTTCTATTTGTAAATGTTAGTTACACAGGCATTAATTATTGAGCAAATTAACATTCATAATTGCGACTTTGAAAATTAAACGTTAGAATTTTTACAAACTACGCGATAAATAAAGAGGGGAAACACGCGTGAAAACCAAATTCTCGGCTGAGAGTAAAACCACAGACTATGACAGAGAAGCCGAGAGGCAGCAACGGCAGCAGCAGCAGCAGCAGCGAGAGCGTAATTAAAGCTGGCGTGTCCGGCTCGTTTGCTTTGCGCCGTCTCATCGCCTCGCCGTCGTCTCCCGCACTGAAACGACGGACAGTCAGGCGTCATTATAAATTCAGCAGCGCGCGAATATATCGCGTGTCCGTGCAAATAAAGAGCGAGAGGCGCGCTCGCAAATATAATCCTGCCGAGAAAGCATATATACCCCTTTCCCCCACGACCCCTTTCTCATCTCGTACACACACACACACACACACACACATACACATGAGCAAATGAAGGAACTTCCTGGACAGGTATGGCAACGTGACTAAGCTTTACACGTTTTGAAAGTCAATTGTTTTTCTGCGTATATATATGGACGCATAAGTGTCGGGCGAACGAACAAGTGTCCCGCTGCGAATTATTGTTCCGTACATGCGCCGCCGGAAGACGGAAAAAAATGAAATGGTTGTACTTGAGAGATATGGAGCCGCGTTACGATGTCAATTGGCGATCGACATCGCGACAAGCGAGCAACGGTATCTCACTGAATTTTTACCAAGTTCGCGTTGCATAGACGTTCCTTCATTATTGCAGATAGTATGCGCACGCGATGACCTCTCCGCGTGGGTTATGAGAAAGTCTTGCTGCTTGCGTAGTCGTGTTTATGAACTGACCTGGGTGTTATCATTTGATATCCTGGGAGCTTAACATTGGCCATGATTCTTGAGGGGAACAATCTCTAGATGTAACAAATTATACGTTCATACTGTATTATTTTCCCAGAGCTTCGTTTCCAAAGAGCACCAATAAACTGCCATGTAAAGAGCTATGATAATACAGATTAGAAGTCATAGAAACTATGAAAGAATTCGGTTATTTCGACCAGTTGTGAAAGCGATCGTTTGTCAACCTATTGAATGACCGTTTCCCTCTTTATCATTATCTACTGCCTGAAAGTCACAGTGGATGTTAGTGGTACGCTTGAATAAAGTGACACCTGTACATAATTTTGAAAACATGACTTCTACATCTGATTAAATTAATCATTTTTATTCTAATACATGCATACATGCAATGAAGATGATAAATTCCTCAAATTTACATTAATCATCCTTTAACCTTCCAAATTACACTAAACACATTTCAAAAGCTAAGAATTCCATCCAAGCGATTGGAGGAGCTATTTATAGAATTAATTATATTAGACTTTGCTTTTTGCCTATATCAATTGAATAATTCTCAGGTCAAACAAAAAGTGAATAGCCTTTTTCCGCTCGCGAACAGAAATAAAATAGCGACGTTCAATGAACGCATTTATCCTCGAATTTCAAGTACCTGTCGAATATGTAAATTTAATGTTCCTGTAAATTATGCAGAAGCATAATTCCAAATAGCACATTTTCACCTCGGCTAAGATTCAATATTTCTTTAATCAATATTTCATCATCGATGATATTGCCAGCGATATTTTATTCTCGACAAGGAATTCACTTTAAAGTTCGTTCAATAACATCGATTATCCGTTAAATTATTGCTGCCTCGAATGAATTTCTTTGCTAGTTTCCTTTCATCTTCTTCTAAGTAACATCGACATCTCGACGGATCTTCTGGCAGTTTACACCTGACGTTTCGCAAGCCGAGACGACGACGGCACCAATACTAAATTGCAAAGCAGTGTCGCTCCATTTCCATCAGCCAGCCGTCGCAGTCAAACAATCGGCTTCCATATTCCGAAAAAAAAAAACCCCCGTGAAAACGCGACGCGGCGCGAGCTTTCGAAGTGAAAGTGGCGAAATTGTGTCCTTGAAGGAAAAAAGAGAGGCGCGCTGCGACGCTGCGTCTGACAAAGAAATCGATCGCTTTGAATATTTCGAAATACTTTGAATATCGGTACGTGTTCGGCGCTGTCAATCGTGAATTCCATTGCGGCGGCGTCCGCGCGCATCGCGCGGCCCGTCCCGATGATGATCGCATTGCCGCGCGTAAGCGCGTGAGCCGAATACGCCAGCAGCCCCCGTTGTGTCTGTTGCGTGTGCACGCGCGCATTCTTTTGACGCCGTATGATCTCCCCCACTTCCGCCCTGGCTTTGCGATTATG